GATAGTTTATTTATACTAAAATTGAAAATGCCAAAAGGCCCTAATAAAGAATAAGCATTGGAAATTGTAGACATTAACTAAATTATATTTCCAATACCATCCCTTAATTTAGATATTCTATCATAAGCTAACAACACCAAATTCATCTCTCAAGCAAAGAAATTGATCTGTTTTAACTGCCTTTGTCAGAAGATCTGCAAGTTGTTTCTGAGTGCTACAGTGCAGAACTTCTAACACTCTTTTTTGCACTTGACTTCTGAGAAAATGATACTTCGTCTCAATGTGCTTGCTTCTTCCATGTAGCACTGGATTCTTGACAAGATCAATTGCAAACTTATTATCAATCATCAGCTTCAGAGGTTCCTCAACTTCAACCTTCAGATCATGCAGGAGATTCAGAAGCCAAACAGCTTGACAAGCAGCTACATCACCTGCGATATACTCAGTTTCACATGTTGACAGAGCCACGACAGGCTGTTTCTTGGAACTCTAGGAAATGGGACCTCCCAGAAATTTAAACAAGTATCTAAAAGTACTTCTCTTGTCCACTCTGTCTCCACACCAGTCAGAATCGGAATAACTTACTAATTTTGATTTTGTCTTTCTTTCAGAATGAAACATCACTCCATATCTCAGGGTTCCCTTGATATATCTCAGAATTCTGACAACAACTTGGAAATGAGACCATTTTGGATTACTCATGAATCTGCTAACCAATCCAACTGCATAACAAATGTCAGGTCTAGTATTACATAAATACCTTAGAGAACCAACCAACTGTTTGAAGATTGTAGAATCAACAGAATCACCACCAGAGTCAGAATCCAATTTTTGATTGGTTTCTGATGGTGTCACAGCAACTTTGTAATTCTGCAGCTTAAATCTCTTCAGAAGTTCTAGTTCATACTTTAAATGATGCAGAATGATACCCTTCTTCGAGTACAAAATCTCCATCCCTAGAAAATATGTCATTTTTCCTAGATCTGTCATCTCGAACTCATTCATCATAACTTCTTTGAACTTCTTTATATCTTTTGGGCACTACATTTCTGAAACCTCTGCTTCTTGAAAAACTAATCAATTTTTAGATTCCAAGCTCTAGGCGCTTGCTTCAGTCCATACATAGCTTTATTCAACCTGTATACCATCCCTTCTTGATTCTTTTTCACAAATCCAGGAGGTTGTGACACATAAACTTCTTCCTATAATGGACCATTCAGAAATGCAGACTTCACATCCAGATGCATTAAAGGCCAATTTCTATTTGCAGCTAAAGCAATCACCAGTCTGATTGTTTCATGCCTAGCTACAGGCGCAAACACCTCAAAGTAATCTAGTACAGGTTTATGAAGAAAACCTCTAGCTACTAGTCTAGCTTTGTGTTTGCCAATTGAACCATCTGGCTTAAGTTTCAACTTAAAAACTCATCTGACGCTGATGGCTTTTTTCTTATCTAGAAGTTTAGTAAATTTCCAAGTTTTGTTCCTTTCTATTGCCTCAAGTTCTTCTTTCATGGCATTAATCCATTCTTTCTTCTTGGGAGCTTCTTCAATGCCCACTGGTTCAGAATCTACTAACATGGCACACTGAACGACTTCTCCTTCAGAGTTAACTTCATTATCCTGCAACATGTCAAAATCTGCAAACCTTCTTGGTTTTTGTCTGATTCTCTGTGGTCTTTGAGCTTGTTCTGAAGCTGCACCAGAACTACTACTTTCAGAGTTACCACCTTCATAGTTTTCCATTCCAGAACTATGATCACCACCAGATTCTGGATCATCATCAGCATCTGGATCAGAATCAGATCCATTTCCAGAATCTTCTTCTGACTCATCTTCAGAATCTTCAAGATCTTCAGAATTAGATTCATCTTTGAAACTTTCTAAAACATCTTCAGAGGATAACTCTGGTGTTGGCACTGCACCAGAATCTGATTGAGATTTGTTCCAATCCCATGCTTCAGACTCTTTCACCATAACGTCTCTGCTGACTTCAACTATTAGTTTCTGGACAATAAAGCTTATACGCACTTGTACTGTGGTACCCCACCAGCAACATTACTTTGCTTCTATCATCCAGTTTTTGTCTTCTAGCTTCTGGAACGTGTTTGTAACAGACAGAGCCAAACACCTTCAGATGACTAACACTATGCTTATCTCCAGTTAATTTCTCTAAAGGAACAACTTCCTTCAGTTTCTTCGTTGGACACCTGTTCAGAATATATGTTGACGTGGCAACAACTTCTCCCCATAGCACGTGAGGTAGCTTTTTCTCTTTCAGCATGCTTCTGGTTATATCAACCAAAGTTCTATTTCTTCTTTCAGCAAGACCATTGTGCTGAGGAGTATATGGAGCAGTAACCTCATGTTCTATTCCACTCTCCTCACAGAACTTCTGAAACACTGTAGAGTTATACTCACCTCCACCATTCGTTCTCAGAATTTTTAACTTCTGACCACTCTGCTTCTCAGCCTTCACTTTAAATTTCTGGAACTCAGTAAACACTTCATGCTTGAACTTGATGAGTGTTACCCATGTAATTTTTGTGAACTCATCCACAAAAGACACAAAATAATTGTTTCCTCCAAGTGAAGGTACTAGAAATGGTCCACACACATCAGAATGTACTACTCCCAGAGCATGCTTTGCTATGGGGGCTACTTCTGATGTAAATGGCAATCTAGCTTGCTTGCCTTTCATGCATATCTCACATGACTTCTCAGGCTTCATAATCTTCAAAATACCATGTACAAGCTTCTTAGAACATAGATGCCCTAAGCTTCTATAGTTCAAATTCCCCAACCTCTTATGCCACATCTTACTGTTACCTTCAGCGCCTTCTGCACTAAGACATGTTGCTTTAGCTGTTTCTACATTTACCTTGAATATTTTGTTGCCTCCTTGTTCAGACTTCATAATCAACTTCTGATTGGAATCATACAACGTCAGAAGATTGTTTTTCATAACAACTGAGAAACCTTTCTCAATCAGCTGACCTACGCTCATCAGATTGCTTCTAATACCAGGAACATACCAAACGTCTTTGATCAGAATGTCTTTCCCATTCTTCACTCTAACTCTTACATCTCTCATACCTTATGCATTAAGATACTTATCGTCAGCACATCTGATCTTTGTTCTCCTTCTAGAGTCAAAGTCTGTCAGCCATTGTTTGTTTCCAGTTAAATGATTTGAACAGCCAGTGTCCATATACCACCAATCTTCTGAGCATTTTCCATCAGAATCAGAAGCCATTAGTAGTACAAGTTCATCATCAGAGTTTCTCTTAGTCATATATGCTTCTTCTGATTTCCTTTGCTTGTTTGACCTACAATCTCTGGCAAAATGGCCAAATTGTTTACAAGAGTAACATTGAACTTTCCTTTTGGCATACCTCTCCTTTCCTTTATGATATTTCTTATCATCAAAAGTTGAGGCTTCTGACTTCTGGAATCTATCACCACATTTATTCTGCTTCTGGTATTTCTTGACAAAAGAAGCATTTAGAGCTTGCTCAGCTTCCCTCTCAGAAGTTCTCTCATACATACGTAACTCCTGTGCTTCTAAGCTGCTTTGCAATTCTTCTATTCTCATGGTTTCCAAATCTTTAGAATGTTCAATAGAAACAACAATGTAATCAAACTGAGGAGTAAGCGACCTCAGAATCTTCTCTATGATTACCTGTTCAGACAGAGTTTCTCCATACGCCTTCATCTCGTTAGTGATCAGAATCACTATGGAGATATATTCAGAAACTTTCTCACTGCTCTTCATGTTCAGGTTATCATATTGCTTTCGTAGGGATTGAAGTTTCACCTTCTTTACTGATGCATCACCACCGTAACATCTCACCAGTAAACCCACGCCCCTTTTGACGTTGTTGAATCAACAATCTTCTCGAACACACTTTCATCCACACACTGATGGATATAGAACAGAGATTTCTGGTCCCTCTTTCTCATCATCCTCTTAGCAGTTCTCTGTTCTTCAGTTGCATCTGCTGCAGTTCGTACATAACCCTCTGTAACCAGATCTAGAACATCTTGCGCACCAAATAGCACACGCATTTGTATCATCCATCTGTTCCAATTTTTGCCATTAAAAACTGGAAGTTTGGTGTTCAAACTACTGTCTCCACTCATTTTAAACCTTGTACGAATTTTTCAGATCTTCAAACACATTGTTTCCCAATCCACAAAATCGGATTCTGTTCAGATTTTTTGTTCAAGATTTCAACAGGAAAAAAAATCAATGAACCAAAATCAAACACACAGCTCACAATCACTCGTGTTTCCTAGGAAAACAGAATCAAGTGCTTTGATACCAATTTATTGGTGCAAGGTAATGAAAGGGGAGAAGAAGAATGAACAATGAATGATAACAAAGAGGACTACTATTGTATATCAAATAGAGTGATGAATGAGTTGCAATATTGATAATCTAAGATAACATATTTATATTAAAATTAAAAATGTCAAAAGGTCCTATTAAAGAATAAGTATTTGGAATTGTAGACATTAATTAAATTATATTTTCAATAACTTTAATATATAGGACAAATAAATGGAAGCAAATTTTTTTACTTGGTATAATATGGTTTATAAGGGTAAAATGCTAAAATGTTTTTATTTTGATTGAAAATTGATAATATGATTTATAAGGTTAAAGTATGATTTATATCTAAACTTTACTTTATAAAAATACGGTACTAGTGTACATACAGTATAGAATACACATACAGTATGTCACAATATCATCCAGCTAATATATATAACAACCAAAATACACGAAACTGAGTCGCGTTCAAAGTTTCCTCACAACAACCTTTGTTTTCTTTTTCACTCACGCGCCTCTCATCCTTTCATACGTTTCTTCATTTTCTCTCTTTCATTCTCCCTAGAAACCGTTTCACTTCAACTTCTCTATAAACCAATGTCCTATTCCTAAACCCTACCCACTCTCACACATAACACAATTACACAACCCTTTTTCTTCTCACCATGCCTTTTCCTTGGAAGAAGAAAAACCGAGTCACCCGAATTTCACAAATCGTCGCTGATCTTCAATCTCCAAAACGCGGTCGTTCGCTCTTCGTTGAAACCGGGTTCCCCACTTCCCTCATCGATCTCTTCGTTAAAAACCGTAACCGCTTCAAGAAATCCAGATTCAAAAAACCGGTTCAAACCGAAAACATTGATCCGTCACCGCCGCCGCCACCGTCGCCGGTCACATCTTCACCTCCGTCATCGGAATTACCGTTTCAGGTAGTTCCGACACCGAATCCTCTTATCTGCGATAACACCGATGGAGCCGCCGTCGATGAGGCTCCTCCGGTTGAAAACCTGAGTTCTATGGTTCGTTCAAAGGCGATCATCGTGAAAACGTTGACGGTTATTGTTTTGGCAGCGAGTGTGAAGGAGTTAACAGTTGCGATCACGGTGTCGGCGTTCGCGCTTCTGTTTCTCGAGAACGCATTAAAACGCGCCGTTTCGTGTTTGAAGCCTTGTTCTAATGCTAGCGTTTCAATTGAATCGCGGTTCCAGAAGATTCTATTTCGTGTTAAGGAAAATGAGATTCAACAACCGGTAACCGTTTTCAATGAAATTGAATTGTTGAATTTGAATCACGATGAAATTGAAGCTGTTGAAGAAAAGAGTGAGGAGGAGTTAGGGATTTGTTGTGAATTGGAAGATTCATTGGTTTCTGAATGCAAAATTAAAGGGAAAGGTAGTCGTAGCGGTAGGTTTAAGGCAACGATGGTGAAGAAGCTTCAGAAGTTTCGTTCTAGGAAAGAGAAAAAGGAAGAAGAAAAGGGAATTAGTATTAGTAATAATAATAATTATAGTTATGAAGATAATGAAGTTGAAGATAAAGAAGCGATTATTATTATTAAAAATGAAGTAAGAGATGATTGTGGAATCACTTATTCTACAGAATCGATTCTTGCTGGGAAAAAAAACTCAGGTTATGCAATTCTGGTTATGATTGTACTAGTTGGGCTTATTGTGGGGCGTTTACAAGCGTTGGTTCTAACCATTGGATGGTGTTTCTTGGTTAAGATGGTTAAAGTTATTTGGAGATCAAAGAACGTGTCTTCTCTTATGGAAAGATGAGTTTCAAACTGTTGTTGATGGAGTCAATTGAATGGTTTGAACTTTGAAGCATTGAAATTAAAACTCCAACCATTTGTTGGAAATCCCCAACTTGATGAGTTGTAATTTTTAGATGTAACTATGGATACCGGATAGATACTAATTAATTACTACAGTGGATAGTGAATAATAATTAATACTCCTTTCTTTTTTTATATAATTTTATTTTTATTTTTAATGTTATTTTGATTTATTTTTAAGCTATAGTTTTGATTAATTTTGAATATCAACAGTATTGAAATGGGATGAGGTTGGAAAGAATGATAGACAGGAATCTGATTAGGAGACTTTAGTTTAATCCACTTCACATTCCTCAGTTACCTATTTTCTTTGTCTTCCAAATTGGGGGTTTATTTAAGGATTAGAAAAGGAATAAACTGTAAATTCCTTACTCAAGACTCAAACTATCTAAAGTCTAACTAATGTAGTTTAAAATTTTATTTTAATAATTTATATCAAATATAAAGTTTATACTAACTATTTTTTTAAACTATGTTGCTGGAATTATTTATTTGAAATTTGCTTGTCACTAAGGAATTTGTCCACTTGCTAGAAGAAATATAAACAGCGAATTTGTCCACTTATGGTTTGTTCGGTTTGGCGTTTGAAACTACAAATGCATGTTAAGCTGCTTTCCCACCGTGATTTCAAAAAACTACACGGTGTAACTTCTGACCAAATGTGCTTCTCTCCCCCACCGTGATTTTAAAAAGCTACAATGGCCAAGCGTGCATCTTGCTGTCTTTCCACAGCGTTTCCAAACACGCTATTAGTAGAAGAAAGGTAAATTTGTTGATTAGCAACTAATTAGCTGTTTCTTATGATAATTTAGATATTAACATTTACTTAAGAATGGAAAAACATGAGACACTTTTTAGTTGTAATTTATGAGAATTTATCTACTCTAAGATAAGTACTCCAGTTAGTACGGTAGAAAAAGTATCAAGGGTTAAAATCATTTATGATTTGTTATTTTATATTTATATACTTATGTTATTTTATATAATTGTTATTTTATGAAAATAAATATGCTTTTATAGTATTATTTTTTGACATAAAAATGTAACTAAAAACAAATGAAAAATAAATAATTTTGACTTTTATCATTAATTTTTTTAAAATATTTTTTCAAAAAATAAGTTAAAGTGATTCATTGAATTTTATCTAAAATAGTTTAACAATCATGTTTAAAAAAAAGTTATTTTTGATTATATTCATCTATATTAAACAAATAAATTAGACTCAATCTATTAACAATTTTATCGTAAAGCAGATGATGGAAAGATGAATAAATAAAATTATTTGTCATTTTTTAACGGAGTATAATTAATTTTTTTTTCATTATGAATTAATAGTTCAATACAAGGATGAACAAGATGAAAATTATTATATCTAGTTCAAGAATTGACCGCCTTTGTTAAGGAATGGACAACCAAAATTTGCTTGACGTTTTATAAACTCAACTTTAAAATTGAGAAAATTATGTAACAACTGCTTAATAAATCCAATAATCATATAAAATTCCGAGTTTCATATTTTGATAGAACGAAGGGCTTGCACTACCCGAAAAGAGTCGGTTTCAAAAACAACACGATCCAAAGATTCAAAACTATAGCACTCTGGATTACTTCTTTAAGGGTTATGACTTCCGCTTCCAAGATGAAAAGAATACTTGGATCCCAAGCCACTCCTACAAAGATAAAATTGGCAAATTCATCCCGAAAACATCAACTTCTATTCGATGTACCACAATTCTTATTAAACCCGACATCCATGTTACATTTGAGCCAACCAGAAGATGGTGCACTCCAAATTTGCACTTGATTTTGATTGTTGTTACTATCTTGGAGACGTTGACCCGACAACCAATTTTACCATTGATGAAATGCAAGCCAATCAAGTTTATAGCCATCATCTCTCTCATTATTCCAAATAAGATCATTCCTATTTTTTCACAGAACCTCCAACATAACTGTGAATCTACATGTTGTATTCTTATCTTCCCTATTGCAAATATCAAGAATGAGTCATTTCACATCATAAAATGAATGAGTTCTATGATCAACAATATTACTCAAACCTATTTTTCCCAACAATGGTTCATTTCTAAACATCCAAAGAACACATGTCAATCGTCCTCATAATTATCAACACATAACAGGCACTCTTTCGTGCAATTGACACGGTGGTGTCGAAGCCTCCTTCGAGCAGGAAGGCATTCCTGACAAATTATCCACCACATACGCTTCAGGGCTTTGATGTTCTAAATACAACTCCAATTATCCACAATAATCTGGAGAGAAGGATTTTTCTGAGCATTCCTCCAGACACGATACCCTGACCGCACACTATAACTACCACTTTGTTCCTCCTTCCAAACCAATTTATCCTCTGTAACCTCCTCCACCAATGAGACTTGGAGAATTTCATCTACCGCTACATAGTTAAATATGTCACGTAAAACTCTCATATTCCACTGTTTAATATTCGGCAGCATAAAATTATTAATTATAATGTCATACGAACCTTGCTTCTGTGGGCAACTCATACAACCCTCACGACCTCCACGAAGCCAAGGTTTGTTCATCATTTTAATTCTACTTCCATCACTGATACTGCATCTGCAACCTAGAGTTAGAACCTCTCTAGCTTTCCATACACTCCTCCACACAAAGCTTGGATTGCAACCAATATTAGCATCAAAGAAAGAGGTTCTAGGAAAGTACATTGCTTTAAAAATACGAGACACTAGAGCTTAAGGTTGGGACATGATAAACCACTCATGTTTAGCCACCATTGTCATATTAAAAGCTTTAAAATCATGTAATCCTAATCCTCCTTATATCTTCGTACAAGTGAGTCTCTCCCACGACATCCACCTTATTCCCCTATTGTTGCTACGCCCACTCCACCAAAAAGAATTGAACATCTTCTCTATTTCGTTTATCACTCCATCCGGTAGAATGTATATACTAATGATATAAGCCAGAATGACTTGGAGCACATATTTTATCATAACTTCTTTCTCGACTTTAGATAATGAACGACCTCTCCAAGAGTTGTTTCGCTTCCAGATCCGATCTTTAATATAAGATAAAGTAGCCCTATTGCTTCTTCTAATCATTGAAGGCATCCTCAAATAGTTACCAGTCCCAAGAACATGTAGAACTCCCATTATCCTAGCCAAATCCTCTTTTTCCAGATTAGATAAATTATTACTCTAGAAGACCTTGGATTTCATCATATTAATCTCTTGACCTGACGCTTCTGCATAGATATCGAGTAAACTCATAAGAGTTCTCACTTCTGATAAATTGGCCCTGCAAAATAAAAAAATAATCGTCAACAAAAAGCAGATGTGACATACTAGGTGCCCCTCTGCACACCTAGAATCCATGGATATCTCCCATAGCCATAATGACCTTGATAAGGACCGAAATACCCTCTAAGATAAGAATAAATATACAAGGAGACAGTGGGTCTCCTTGTCTCAATCCTCTTCCTGGTTCAATAGGTCCAACAATCTCCGAGTTAACAAGAACATTATAGTGCACCGAAGTAACACACATCATTATCCAGTGTCCATATATCCGTAAAGCCCATCTTCTTAAGTACCTCTTTTGAAAATCCTCAATCCACTTTATCATATGCTTTACTAATGTCAATCTTCAGAGCTAAGTGAGCCTTCTTACCGTTCGTGTTACTCTTGAGAGCATGAATAACTTCACTTGCGATCATGACATTATTTAAATTTAAACGACCCTCTACAAAAGTCAATTGTTCCTCTAACATACACTTTCCCAATAAAGGCTTCATACGATTAACAAGAACTTTTGGAATCACTTTGTAGATCACATTGCACAAAGAGATAGACTGAAACTCTTTCATATTACTAGGTTGAGAACATTTAGGAATCAGACAAATATTGGTTGATATCAGTTCTGGATTGGGCATGCGCTTGGCCCAAACAACATAAAAAGCCCAATTCAACCATGCTGCAGGCGAGGCCAGCAAGGATGAGGCTGCCCTTGACTATGTTGGGTAGCGACTCCACCCTTGCACCAAGGACATGCCCACTAGGCCTTCCTCGCCATAGGGCCGTCGAGGAGTGTTAACATCTCCCAGGAGGTCTTGACATGCACCTTCCTTGTAGGGCAGGCGCCCACGTCTCTGAGTATTCCCGAGTCATCTTAACCCTAGAAATACCGCAACCACGTCCTCCTAGTAATTTCGAGAAGTCCACTCAAGAGGGAGACCACGTATTGGTCTCCACTACTCACGTAGATCCTGACAACCTTCATTTTAGGCCTGCTCTGTCAGCCCAATATGGGGACCTTGGCCCAACACTAGGGGATATAAATACCCTCTCACTTGAGAGGGTCAGGTATTCATTCATTCACCCATACTTTCACATTCTACTTGCACTTTCTCTGAACCTTACTTTGACATTGGAGTGTCTTGCAGGGACCCCCCAACTTCACATTCAACCGCTGCCTGACTTGAAGCTTGTGGGCCTTGATAACCTCTTTTGATCAAGTACGATCAGTGGCGCCGATTGTGAGAACACGACTTCCTCATCTTTCATTCACGTAAGACTAAAGTAACACCTTCAACCTTCAGGTTGTCATGGCTTACCAAGCTTTCGACAATGACCAGAACATTCACTTTACCGATGCGGGTGACAAACAAAAACATTGTCGCCATCGAGCAAGACCCCCGGGACGGGAGGACCGCATCTTCCTCCACCCGCTCGCAACCATGCAACGACAACCACCATCCTCAGAAGAATTATGAGTCGGCCACTTATCAAGAGATCCATGTTCCTGAAAATGTTGACGCCAAGACCATATCCTTGTTTGCAGCGATCAATCAGACAAACTACATGATCTTCGCGTAGGGTGAGCGCCTGATGATGCTGGAACAGACTCGCTGGTCTCCTAGAAGGCATCGAAGACCTGATT